ACCCGGTCGAGCCGACCCATTCGTGCTACAACCATAATAAAGCTGCATCGTGGCTCTACCATATATAGATACAGTTACGTGCATATGTGTTTCATTTAATGTCTTCAAGTAACTTTCATTGTCTTTCTTTGTATATTTTGTCCCCTCGTTAGAAGATAACACCTAAGTTGAATGCTATTGCGCGACACTTGTACAAACATCAACAGTAGAGAAACGTGCGGGCTATTAAAACAACATTTTCTGTCACATATACTTAAGAATATAACAATAGCTGTAACATCACAAATGATTAAATGAGTGCTTGATAATGAAGTCGGTCTATTGCTTAACTTTATAATTTAAAATAACTCATTTATATTATCATGATTCTACTATATTCGATAGTCTAATTAGTGTAAATACTTAATAACTAACACTTGAAAAGCACTCTTTAGTTTAATTACCACTGGTTCGAAAAAAAACCTCTTTCCTGGAAAGAACCAGCAAGAAACCTGGCAGGACTTGTTAAAAAAATAACAGCTTACAATCATGTATGTTACATAATTAACAACAAAAAAAAATAGAAATAGCTTGGTATCGATCACCTCATTCCCAGGGGTAATAACCACTCATGTACACAATTAACTACACAACAAATTAGAAATAGTATGGTAGTGATCACCTCATTCCCAGGGGTTATTGTCATCCATAAATTCCTTAATATTATAATAACCTTTTTTTTATACAAACTTAGTTTAATAAAGTTTTTGAACTTTTAACTAAACTAAACATTTATAGATCATAAATGTGTAGACATCATTATTAAGTATTAAAGTTAAAACTATTAATTCAAATAAATCCACGTTAAAGGGCCATCCACAAAAGCTTAAATAAGAGGACATTCGTATCGCTTTTTTATGATCAAATGCACGCAAAAATACTTATTTCTAGGTAAACATTTTATTATATTTATAAACAAGAGATATGCAGCAGTGTTTTCCTTAATAACGACAAGAAAATAAAAAATGCAGTTACCAACTCTGTTGCAAAACGTGACAACTAAGGCAAACATCCCCGTGACCAATGATATAAAAACAAAACGGCCATTCCCCGGCGACCTGCTATTCCTGGCTACTAACATGGTAATATCAGGACAGATTGTGCTAAGAATCTCTGGTAGAGGTTCGCTTACAACCTTCGAATGGAAACTGACCCTTCAGTCTTCAACAATGCAAATTCATGCGGCGAGACTCACAACTTCAATACAGCTTGTTACGATTAACGTTACAAATGACAATATACACTATACATAATAGCGATAAACGATATACGGAACAAAGGCTCTAAAGTCTTTGTCAAAGATCTGTTTCTGCCAGAAAGAGCCAACTGTCTATGCTGAGCCGATGAGTGGCACATGGTCGTTGAGCCATCCGCAAGTGTCAGTAACAATCTAATAGCAAATCTCATCCGAAAACATTCCGATGTTATCCCGAATAAACAAAATAGAATGGCTCTCCAGCGCCTTATAAACGTGACGCGTGCGCGATGCGCGATGTGAAGTGAACGCGACGGTAGAATTACAGCTAAGCTTTTGAAAGCGGCTGCAATACCGGTAACATCTTTCAGAACCTCTTCAATTCCGTCCTCCATGATGTCACTGGCACAACAAAGGCCAGGTCCAGAGTACCCTAAACCGAAGAGCATGTATGAAGCGAAACAAGTATATAAGGATCGTAGCAAGTGGAAAGAAGTGGTTTCTGCCTAAACCTACGGGAAAGAGGCATGATTATATATATGTATGTATGTATGATGGCACTACTCTGGAAGAATGCAACAGAATCACAGTGAACTTGTACTTTAAGAAGATAACGTTTTATTTAAGAACTACACAAAGACTTTTTGATACTGAGCCGTGTCTATGTTCTGTTTTAGAGAGTCATTAAGAATCATTCCGTACGCAGATTTGACGACTACCAGCGTTCCGAACAAGTCTGAAAGGCTTTAGTACAATTAACTACATATGTAGATAGTCTTCGGCATATTATACAGAAGACCGAAGAGTACTGCTTTGAAAGATGTTTTCATGTTACTGCACTGGATATAATCATTATATCAGAATGACTAGGGACACTTAGCAATATGTCCATTGACCTGTAGTATCTCCTAAAGGCAAATGTCATGTATAAAGTTGAATGTCACACCTAGGCCGGTAGTTGATAGAAACCTCACAGTAAGTAAAGGGAATGCATGTTATTACTCTACTTCGAAGTTGTTGATGAGTATGTTTATTTGGGAGCAGCATTTGTAAGATTACGACGAATCTTACTGTCACGTATGTTTAAAACAAGTAAATTCTTATTTGCCAGTGATGACTATGAATCAGAGACGTGGTCCTTCCGAGATAGTGTTTCCCAGTGAGTTATGTAGAGGCTTATATATCTTATTAATGATCGGAGTATATCTGCGTGATAGAATTCCAAATAAGGATATTCACAGTAAAACGAAAAACAACATCGCTCCATGGATTAGAGTGGCAATGGGCCGGCTATATTGCTCGAAGAACTGACAATCGATGGTGCCGGTAAGCGATGAGTAGAGCGTCTCAAAGAGTGACGACCTGGTATGAGATGAAGGAAGATGCGGGTTGCTCAGGAACATGTTTTGTAGCATTCCTGGGGGAGGCCCTTGTTTAACAGTGGATTTAATTTCAATTCTTGAAAATGTCAAGGTCCGTTGCCCTCTAATATAATATGATAATAACCCCTGGGAATGAGATCATCGCTACTAAGCTATTTCTAATTTGTTTTGTGTGATTAATTATGATTACATGATTGTAAGCTGTTATTTAAAAAAAGTCCTGCTCGGTTTCTTGCTGGTTCTTCCCAGAACAGAGGTTTTTTTCGAACTAGTGGTATTCTATTAAACAATAGAGTGACTATCAATAAGTACTATTTATAATCTATATTGAATAAAAAAGTTTCTGTTTCTGTCTCGCGATAGAGATACATTTTCTATTTACAATGTTTGTAATTATTTAATAGATTAATATTTTAATTTTATAATGAAATAGTTTTTATTCTAGCTGATTTCTTTAATTAATCATTTCATTATCAAATATAGGATATCCCCCCACTAGATGGAGTAACGACCGGGTAAAACATTCAGGAAGTCGATAGTTGCAGATCTGTCGAGACTGTGTTTTACATTATTTTTGGAAGCCTATGCTCAGCAGTTTACGTGGTAGAGCCATGCTGCAGCTATATTACTGGTATAGGTATAGTCGACTACCTCGTTGGTCTAGTGGTTGTAGTAGTGCGACTGCTGATCATGAGGTACCAGGTTCGAATCCCGGGTCGGGCCAGAAAAACAGTTATTGAGTTTTTCCATCAAGAAATTCTCAGTCTAAAATCTATATTTTGACGGCTCCGTGGCGCAGTGGCTTAGCAATCAGTAGTTGCGCTGGGGGCCGCGGGTTCGAAGCCCGCACGGAACAAGTATTTGTATGGCCTACAAATAATTGTTCCGGGTCTGGATGTTTGTCCTTGTGCAATTTATGTTTGTAAACTGCTTCCACGACACAGAAGAAAATACTAGTGTGGGGGTAACGTTTTTTAAACATAAGTATTTTAAACATAAGTAGCTGCCCGGAGTCAGGAAGTTGGCGGTGTCTCACCCCTGTGCGTCGGAAAGCACGTAAAGCCGTTGGTTCTGCGCCTGATCTCTCGCGTCCCATCGGACTATGAGAGTGAGGGAATAGAGAGTACACCTGTGCTTGCACATGCACTTGGGCTCTATAATCCTGTCCCGCGCCGATGGCTAGTCTTCGAGAGGCTAGTGACCGAAATTCGGTCTGGAGGACATTAGTATTATTACTGGTATTTGTTGTAGCACGAATGGATCGGCTTGACCGGGGAAGGACAACGCTCTCACAGAGTACCAGCGTAAAATAGCAACTTAAAGCTGTTGTGTTTTCTTTGGTGAATGTATAGAACCGAAGACTCTTTTTACTGCAAACGAAGCATTCCATCTTAGTCCTCAAAGGTGACAAGACATCTGCGTATTGATTCGTAAATGAGGATAGATGTAGATGTCTATGGGTCACAGCAACCACTTACCATCACGTGGACTGTGTTCGTTTATCACCCTATTCCTATAAAAAAGTGGACTTGTGAAGGGCTGTAATGATGATGATGATAATAATAATATAATCTCGTAAAACTATTCTTAAAATATAATTATTATACATATTTTAAGAAAACGTATCCGGGTTAAGTTTTGCGAATAATTACAATAATATTAAATTCGTTAAACAGGTTATTTTTAAGATAACAGCCTAATACAAATTCTTGTTTATTACACTTGATTTTCTTGTATATTTGCCCGTGCAAACAGAAACCCACTCTAAAAGAGTAATGAACGATTAATTGTTAATGACATTTACATTAAAATTATTTCACTGGAGAAATAAAACTCCAGCGCTGCATACAGTTAAAGGTAACCAGGTTTGAAACAAAAGCGGAAACAGTAGACAAGAAAAAAAAATAAACAAAAAATAATAGGTGAATTTCCGACGACTGTGTGGCTTAGTGGTACAAAAGAATAGGATCGGCTTAGTACCAAGTTTGAATGAAGCGAATGACCTTTGACGTACCTACCTACCTATATAAATGAGTAATGTCTGATTGTGATGGTCGAGTTGTTAACTTGATTATATTTTAACTAAATTACATTTTTATATGATTATTTTAAAACATGTTACTATTTATCACCACTGGTATCGAACATCCCTTTCTTAATTTTTTACAATAACCTTTAGATTAACCATTATTTTGAAATATCTTCGATCATATTATTTGAAATATAATATATACATATGTAACGTTAATTGTTTTCACCTCCTTGACCTATTAGTGTTAGTTTGTTTTAAGAATACAACTTTATAGCATGTCGAAAATTTATTAAATTTATTTTTAAAGTTGCTTTATTCATAAAATACACCAAAAACTATTGTTTCAACTTACGTTTAGATAAAAGCAATTTCCAACCGGTCAACATTTTAGTGTTTATTGATCACCATACGAAAACACACTATCAAACTTTTAGTTAATACTTAATAATATTATTTAAAATAATACAAATAATTCTAAAATTTCAGTTATTATTTTAAAACTGTCTTTAAGTTATCACTATAACTGAACGAAAACGCGGTAGAGACCGCGGAATGAGCCGCGGCAAAAATCGACATGCGCGTGCTCACTACAGCCTACAAATACGCGAACGCGCACTGTCTTTGCCTCTATATACTACGCGCTCCCAGCCAGTGAACAAATTGCATTGCTACCGGACTTAAGCCAAAAATCACTTAATGAATCAAACAATAATTATCAAGTAAAGCACATTATGTAACGTCGACATACTTCCGCCTATCCACAATGTCGTCGCGATAATGAAACAACCAGTTCAATTTTGTAACAACGAGGCAGTAAGGCATAGTTCCGTCACCCGGACATGCTTGTATGTGGTTCACTAGATTTTGTAATGTGAACAATCGAAAGGCATCTTAGGATCGTCAATGGACCGAACGTTCAGCAATTGTATACAGCACATAACGGTCCTACGAGTATAACTATGTTTTTGTTAAAACGCATCCGTAAACTGAATACCGGAGAGCCTATTGTATAATGTAAACATGATTTATAATGTCCGCACGAACCAATGTCTAACGCTGAACCAATACATTAAATAGTCAATACAAAATATTTATTTTCCGTATGAAATTCGTGGAAATATTTTTCCTGATTTTCCAATACTAAATTTCTGTGGAATTTGTTATAGCATAACATGTGCCTATTGTTTTTAAGTCGTAGATAAAAAATAAACAGGTGTTAGAAAAATAGCGGGACAATTTGTTTACAAAATAAAATAAAACCGGTCAAGTGTGAGTCTCGCTTCGCTCTGTAAGGGTTTCCAACATATTATGACCAATAAACTTTTTTGAAACCAGATATTTAAGTATAAAAATCGTTTGTTTAGTCACACTTCACAAAATACATTTAAAGAAGTAATAGTCTTAATTTATGAAAGTACATAATATACATAAATGTAATTGCTAACTAGTTTAATTTTTAAGATTATTGACGCCTTCTTTATGATGTATGAATTATTTTCCACCTTAAAAAATAAATGAATTGAGTTTCCAATTCAATATTCGCTTTTAGATCTGCTTTGTACACCAAATATCCAAATTTCAGGTTACACAATAACACAACCTAATATATGGATATACCGATAGACAGATAAATCTCCAATAGGGCTCAATTTTTGTTATTATCGACGGAACTCTAAAATTATTTTAATCAGCCAGTTTATTACACCAGTAATATATTAAATTCTTATTTATTTTATAGTATAAACCGTTGATACTTAAAGCTACACCGGCTTTTAGACGAAGTCTGAAAAAATTATTAATTTAAAAAAATCTAATTTGTAATAGATATGAATGTTCAGTATTTGATAAAGTCTTGATTGTGAATTTTTAACACATTTTTATCAATTCACCAGATAGTAGATGAACAGGAACAGATACAAGCTAGTAGTACCAGTTACTCGACTCCATCGAGTCAGTAATTCATTCTTGGGGCGATGTATACGCTTCTACAACAAAATTCCAGAAAATATACAAAATTTGACCGGCTCAAAGTTCAAAAACTTTATTAAACTAAGTTTGTATAAAAAGGGTTATTATAATATTAAAGTATTTATGGATGATAATAACCCCTGGAAATGAGGTGATCGCTACCAAGCTATTTCTAATTTGTTGTGTTGTTAATTTGTGTAACATACATGATTGTAAGCTGTTATTTAAAAAAACAGTCCCGCTGGTTCTTCCCAGGACAGAGGTTTTTTTTCTGAACCAGTGGTAATTAAACAAAAGAGTGACTTTCAAGTATTATTTATAATCTATATTGAATGAAAAAGTATCTGTTTCTGTTTCTGGAGGACTTCCTTCCTACCTAGAAACCCGTCTGGGAAGCTAGCAATCTCTTTCTAGAAAGATCACAAATTCCAATAGTATTACCGACGATCAGTGTTGTGTTCGGTTTGAACGGTATGAAAAGTCAGTAACTCACTCTATTGTTGCACACATACCTTTTATTTCTAAGAGGGTTTTTGGTACGGGAAGAGTTCTCGATATATTTTTTTAATTATTTCTATAGGTAGGTTTTATTCTACTTATCAATCTTAAGATGTTTTTCACAGCTGAGGACGTTGGAAATCAAAATAGAATTTAGTTAACAGAACTATTTGTGCTGGAATTGAACTCTGGTTGCTCACCTACTGTGAAAGGCTTATTACCTGAGCTATCACAGAGCTGTAGTAGTAATAACTCAAATGTTAAAATGTAAAAGTACTTATTAATTTGACAGCAAAGGAGTTTTCATTTATATTTAAAAAAAAAGCTTGTGAGATCTATTATGTAAATTGCTTACCGCTGATAGACAAAAAATATATAAATTAAAAAAAATAAAATATTTTCGTAACAAGTTACGCTTAACAAGGCATAGTGGTTATAATCGTTTTAAAATGAACTTTCTTTATAAGAGAAGTAATAATAATTAGCGACATTATTTATGACCAGGCTCCTTTTATAAATTATACGATGAAGTTCGGGTTTTTAAATCATTTGAGTGCTATCAAGCAACATGTTACTTGCTTGACACTAGTAGCTGTAGTTAACGGAGAAGAGGCGGGTGAAACTTAGCGATCAGTTCAAGGAACTCATTGCGGCGGAAACTTCCACACGCACCGATCGCAGGCCCGCATACTTTACGCTGATGCGTAAAACCCATTTAAAAAATATTTTCACGTTACTACGAGGATCTTATGCTGTTTTAGAATTAAGAATGGTCTAAATAGCTGTCACATACAGTTGCGAGGATATGATAATATTATAGGTTAAAAAAGTTAAGTGTCTCACATTCTCGAATTATGGGACAACAAAGTGTCGCATTAAGCGCGACTTGACTAAGATCGTATGCCCTTTTAATTTTACAGACATGCAGGTTCTTTATAATGTTTTCGTCGCCGATCAGTTGATAAATATCTACCTAAAACTACGGTTAAAAATGGCAGTGATGCTGATAAATATCGAACTCGGGTTGCCAGCGTGCTGTGAAATTAAGGTACCTAGGTATAGAACCAGCCCGAAAGCTACATGCGGTAGTTATAATCAAACTTATAATATGATAATCACGAAAGTTTTAGTTGGTTGACCTGAACAATGATTTTTGGATCCTGTGTTCGTATCCCAGATCACACTTGTGCACAAAGTATTGACATAACATATGTATACACATTATGTAACTTCCCTGAAGTGTGCTAGATGCAATTAACGTATAAAATAAACATTCACGTTTATATATATATATATATATATATATATATATATATATATATATATATATATATATATAATATATATATATATATATACACACACACACACACACACACACACACACACAAATATTTTAAAAATAATTAACGCTTCAGCACGCGACTATTTGGGTTTGTAATTAACAAATGAATACGGCAATTTCCACCGGTTTCTTAGAAATAAAGTATGTGGTAATGCAAGGTTAGGAAGGTTTCTGACAAAGATCCACAACTAAAGATAGACTACAACAAACACAAGGCACCAGCTACTTGTATTCACAGGGATCACTAAGTCATCACTTCATATAATGTGGGAGCTACCCTATATTGCCAATACGAGGCTGTCTCTGAAGCACATTTCTTCACCAACGATGATAGTTTCTTCAAGTTTGAGTGGCGCAATACCACTTAAACTCACAAATTCTTAGACAGTATCAGTTTTTAATGTGGCAGAGCCACCCTGGAGCTATGTTGGCTACAGTTATGTATAGTTCTGTGTAAGCTTTGCGTCTTTAATTGATATATGCGCATGATTATAAGTTGGTGAGTTTTGGTGTCAGGGCGTTGTAACTGTTATTTGAAGCCACTGTATAAAGAAAAAAAAATGCGTGTGTCGTGGAACAATCGGTTGGAACGAAGATCCTTGCGTAGTATATTATTATTGATAAACGTAGGTATTATATTATTGATTAACAAATACAAATAAATGAATTATGTACTACTAGCGTCTATTAAAATGACGCGTCATTTGAAATAAAATAATATTTCTTTCATGGCAAGATTAGAAAAGTTTTTTTAGAAAATTATAGATATTGCTGTTAAAACAAGAACTACATTGCCGCAGTGATTAAAACATTGCGTTAAATAAAAAATAAAAAGTTACCCACTGATCAGGATTTTATATATATTGCAAACGGACAAACGTCTAGACCAGAAACAATTATTTTAAGGCCATACAAATTGGAAAACAAAAAACTTGGACCCAGGTGATATACCTACATACTCTTAATGGTAGATTTTTCATTCGACAGATAAAAGTTTTCCGTCAAATAAATTTTAACCTAATGATTTCTTATATTTACGCGAATACTACACGTGGAATAAAACTAATTTTACGAATATAATCTGTAAGCTTTTAATTTTAACTTTTTTAATTCCTCGGATCCACCCGTGTTCTCTTCACCAAAGTTAAAATTAAACGCGATAAAATCCGTAAAATTAGTTTTATTCCAAATAATAACCTGAGAGAATATAAAATTAAAACAGTTGAACTATTTTATCCTATACATATTTTTTGTTTGATGATTTAAAAATCGGCTCAAAAATATTAATTTTCAATTAACTTTTTACATTAATTTTAGCGTCACTGTCGTTTAGGGCGATTTCTCTTCAAATTCACTTGATCTGATTTCGATATACTGAATCACGATTTATAAATGCTATATAAACGAAGTAGCATTAAAATCTAATTAAACTATCAAAATTGCCTATTACGTTTTTCAAATATACTTTAAATGTTTTAAAAAGTAGCGCACGACGTCGATAAAGATAGTAAATACCGTAAGTACCATTTCGAATTCTCATTCACCGAATATCATAAGGCGTAATACTTATTTTCA